TCCACCGTGGTTCGGGGACCTCCCCGGCAGGCCTCGAGGTGGTATCCACTCCTCCTGTCCAGCCCAGGCCCCCCCGACTTAGCCCTGCTGGCCCCCTTCCAAGACCACCTCTCTGAATTGTCCTGACACCGCGCCGGCCTGTCAAGGCCCCTGGCTGACCCACGCCCTTTTAACTTTTTTACAAGCGTTTTCAGGTCTGCTTGTATTTTGTTGAGGGTCGTCCATTACATTTGTGAGTGAGATGGGCCTTTCTTACACTCTTTGAATGACTCACAGAATGAGTTCCAGATGATGCCTTCTTTATTGGTCCCCGGAGGACTCGGTCTAAGGCTGGAATGATCTGTCTTGGAAAGTCGGGTAGAATCCTCGATAAAATGCCCTGGGCCCCGTGTTTCCTTTACCGGACGACATTTTACGGCTGGTTCAGTATGTTAATCGTTACTGGCCTCAAGGAGAATTCTGCTTCTTCTTGACCCGGTGGCAGAAGGTGCACTTGGATGAGTTCTCCCATCACTGAGTCTCAGACGTCCCAGCGTGTCCTTCCTTTCTGTCAGCTTCTGGAAGGTTCTCCATGGCCTCCGCCACCGGTGCCACTGTTGAGAATCTGCTTTACTCCAGTGGATCTTCCCTAAATACCTTTTCCCCTCTGGTGGCTTTTCCGACCCCCTTCTCTCCAACGTGCTGTGGGGTCACCGTGACGGGTGCCGACGTGGGTTCCCTCCCTCTCCCCACCCTGCCTGCTGTCTGTGAGACTTCTTGCCCAGCTGGGAGGTAGCTGGTGCCCGTCCCGGTGGCGACTCAGGGATCCGGCCTTCTTGTGTCTGGAGCTTCCCACGTCCACGAGGCTTGGAGTCGGACACTATATCGGAACACTCCGTGTGTGTCGCGACTGACCTCCAGACCCAACAGCCACGTACCAGGCTCACCATTCTGTGGGTTGGCACCTTGGCCCGGGCTTGGCTGGCTGGTTCTTCTGGGCTGGGCTGGCTCCTTCCCATAGCTGGAGGCATCTGTGGGTCTTGGGCTGTTCTGCTCCTGGGGGACCAATTGGCTGTTGTTTGGGGCCGCGTGGTGAGTAGGCCTTGTGTGGTTCCTCACCCACCGGGGTAGCCTAGGCTTGTTCACGTGGTGGAGGCTGGGCTCCCAAACACAGTGGCTGTGAGCCTTCCCATTGTGCCTCCTGTGTCAAAGCCAGATTCCAGGAGGCGAGGCGGACTGGGTCTCAGCGGGACGGGGCATATGGCCTCATTTCCAGGGGTGTGGCTGCGGGGGCATCATTGCAGCCGTCTTTTCAAAAGATCACCCCATCCCCTTGTTGGCTTGGGCTGCCCCGCTGGGGAGAACACAAAGAAATGCATCTTCTCACCATATTCCGGAGGCTGGAGTCTGAGGTCAGGATCCAGCAGCGCCGGTTCTGGTGAGGCCTCTCTTCCGGACCGCAGACGGCTACCTTCCCACTGTGTCCTTGCAGGGCCCTTGTCTGTGTGTGCCCCGAGAGAGGAGAGATGGCCGTGTCACTCCCTCTACTCGTAAGGCCGAAGTCCTGTGGGATCGGGGCCCCACCCTGGTGACCTCACTCAGCCTTACGTGCCTCCTTGAAGACCCCATCTCCAAATACGTGGAGGGGTAGGGCTTCAACCCACGAGTTTGGGGGACGCGACTCAGCCTGTGCGACGTATGGTGGGGGCTGGTGCTGGGCGCCCTCGGCTGGGCCTGGGAGCGGTGCTCATCCCTTTGCCCACGCGCCACGGGCCGGGCCTCCTTCCTGCAGCGCCCCCTGACTGAGGGGTGCCGTGAAATGCGAGGGAGTGAGTGGGGTGGGGGGCCACGGGGCAGGTGGTATGTGTGTTTCCCCAGCCACACGGAGCACCTGGAGGTCTGAGATGAGGCAGCCGGGCCTGGTCCTGATCATCCCTGTGTTTGTAACCCAGGGTCATTATCAGAGACCCTCACACACATGGCCTCACGTGGGAGCCCATCATCGTCATGAAGCCAGAAGAAGAAACTGAGACCAGAAAGTCACATGATGGTTCGAGTTCACTGGGTGGTGAGTGGGGGGGGGGGGGGGGTGGTCTGGTGGCAGGTGCTGTGGCCGCAGAGCCACTGATGGGACAATGGTGTCCCGTGGCCACAGACTCTGGTAGCAGTGGCGGTGTCCCTGGCCGCGATGGCCAGCAGCGGCGCCCCTGGCTGTGTGGTCCGTCAGGGCTGCAGCTGTCATTCATGGCCGTGGGCTGCTTGGCAGGCGCTGGCCGTGTCCCATGGCTGCCCAGTCCAGCTGTGCGGGGGTGTGGGGCTGGGGCGGCATCCGGTCTCGGGAACGTGGCTTCCTACTGCCCTGCCTCCCAAAGCTCCTGCTGGCTCTCCAGCCGCCCCTGGGTTCGACTAGAGGCCTGACGTGCTTCCAGCAAATTCCTTCCTGCTTCCGTGGCCAGAGTCCGTTTCTGCCACTTGCAACCAGCAACCCTGGCCGCAACCGGGGGGAAGCGGTCTTCTTGCCCCCAGGCGGCTAGAACAGAAACCAGAGGCTGGATGGCTAAGAAAGAGACATTTGTTTCTTACAGTCCTGGAGGCCAGAAGTCTGAGATGAAGGTGCCCGCATGCTCGCTTCCTGGCTGTGGACAGCTGCCTTCTGGGGGTGCTCACGCGGCGGACAGAGGGCATCTCTCTCGTGTCTCTTCTTACAAGGACACTGTCAGGGCACTGCACACCTTCCTCAGCTCATCATGAGGTCACGTTGAAAATATCTTGAGTCCAAAATGCACTGAACGCACCTAACCGACCGAACATCGTGGCTCAGCCGGGCCCGCCGGCCACGTGCTCAGGCTAACCCACGTTAGGCTACAGGTGGGCAGGCTCGTCCAGCACGAAGCCTATTTCATAACAAAGTGTCGAGCACCTCCTGGGTCTCCCTGGAAGTGAAAACTGGAGCAGTCGTGTGGGGACAGACGGTGGTCCGCGTACCGAGGGCTTGTCCGGGAGCTGCCCGGCATCACAGAGAATGCGCCGCAGATCACTGGCCCCGGAAAAGATCCAATGTCAAAATCTGAAGCAGTTTCTAGTGGATGTGTATGGTTTCCCCACCATCCTAAGGTTGAAAAGTCATCAATCAAATCATCTGTCACTGGGTGATGGGGGTTCCACCCTCATGATCTAATTCTGTCCCAAAGGCCCCCCCTCCCAACTCCGTCCCTCTGGGGGTTGATCTCAACACATAAATCTGGGGTCCACAGCAGGAGCTGAGGAGCAGAGAGGCCCAAATCTGGGGGTAGGAGCCCGGCAGGAACCTCTCCACGCCTTTCAGCAGCCTGGTGGGGGGAGAGGAGCTGTGTCCGTGCCTCGGCCCGCATTTTCTGGGGCCAGTGCAGGAGCAGGTGCAGCTGCCAGGCATGGCAGGAGGCTGGGTCAGGGCCAGCGCTGGGGAATGCAGCAGGGCGCTGCCCCTCCCTGCAGGGATGACTGAGTGCCAGGCGCCCGGGGCGGCGGATGTGTCTCTGGCCACGGCCCCCAGCCGCCATCCGGCTCCAGGCCGGCTGTCCCGCGCCATCCCCTGGGGGCCTGAGCCGTGTGGGGGCATGAATGGGGCTCTGTGGCTAGGCAACTGCTCTGCAGAAGGCGGCTGGTGGTTGCACAGGTGATGTGGGGGTGGGGTAAGTTGGGGGCGGTGGGAGAAACAGAGCTGCTTCTGGGCCTGGTGTCACCCTGCCCTGCGCTAGGCCCAGGCAGGACATGGCCCTGGCATCATATTCAAGCCTGTGGCCCACCAGGGACCCAGGGACCGTGGGGAGGGTGCGCCCGAAGGCGGTGAGCCTGGCCTTCTGCACCCAGCATGGTGGCTGCTGTGTGGGGACTCCAAACCTCTGCCTGCCCCCGCGGCTCCCCAATCCGCCCCCCACAAGCAGTCCCGCCACCGAGACCCCCTGCCCTCCCCACCGCCCGCCGCTCTGAGCATGACATCCGAAGGGCCTGGACGGGGTGAAGACTCACATTCAAGCCCCACGGACGTCAGCCTTCCTGCTGCGCAGGCGCTGAGTGACTAGAACAGTGTTTAGTCCTTCCCTCTCATCCCTGCCCGATCGTGAGCCCGTCGGGTTGGGAACGTTGAGTAGGGCACGCTGCGTTTCTAGGGTACAGCACCCCAGCTCTGCTCCCGTCCCCTTACCTTGTTGGATGCTCCTGAAGGCATGGGTGTTGGAAGCCATCTTGGAAATGGGGGCAGATGTCCAAGGGGTACACCTGCCAGGTCCCCCAAACCACCTGGGCTCTGGAAGAACCAGGGGCAGCTGGACTCGATCTACAGCGTGGGGGAGGAAAAATCCAGAAGCTCAGAGCCCCAACCTCCTGTTGTGAAGGGGGCTCCCGGTGGGCCTTTCAAACAGCAGCAGAACACCTCACCAGGAGGGATGGCTCTTAGCCCCGTCGGGGAGACCAGACACAGGACCTGGGGCCCTGTCCTGCAGGCGGGGCTGGGGGAGGGGGTCCCGGTCCCACCCACCCACCACCCCACAGCAACCTGTACTGGGATCCATGCTGCCAGGGGGTGTGAACGGACTCCCTCTCCACTATCCTGCAGAGGAGGGGGCTGGAGGGCTGCGGGGTGAGGCCGCGTCCTGGCCAGGGTCCTCAGGGGTCAGGGGGTTGTCAGGGTTTCTGGGACGGCCCTGGGGTAGTGGGAGGGGCAGGTGCCCCTGGGGTGGTGGACCGGGCAGGTGCCCGAGGGTGAAGCCAGGTTGAAGACACGCTGAACGCGGCTCCGTGTGGTCAGGTCGTTTCCCTTACTTTGGCATGAGAAGCCCGCCCCGCCCCGCTGCGCCCGGGGCGCCGAGTCCGAGCCCCAGGTGGCCCCAGGTGCCCCGCCCGCGCCCCGCCCCCGCCGGCCCGCCCCCCGCCGGCCCGCGGCGCAGCGCCCTCCCCGAGCTATTTTGAAAGTGACCCTGGGCTGCGCGGCCGCGGGGCGGCGGGCAGAGGCGCGGCGGGCGCCGCGGGAACCATGACAGAAGATGACCGAGGCGGCGCTGGTGGAGGGCCAGGCCAAGCTGCGGGACGGCAAGAAGGTCGGGGCGCGCGGCGGGCGCGGGGCGGGCGCGGGGCGCGGCGGCCGCTTACGCTCCCTCTGTCCCCGCAGTGGAAGACTAGGTGGCTGGTGCTGCGCAAGCCGTCGCCGGTGGCAGGTGAGCGGGCGCGGGGCGCGGGGCGGGCGGCGGGCGGCGCGGCCTCCGGAGCCCGGCCCGCCCGGAGCGCGGCCAGCTCGCCCGAAATAGCCGGCGGCGCCGGCCGGGCGGTAACCGGAGAGCGGAGAGCGCCGCCTCGGCCTGCTCCTGCGGGGAGTCCCGGGCGCCCCCGACCCTGACGCCGGGACCCTCCCGTACCCCCACCTTCCCGGGAAGGCGGACTGAGGCCGGAGGGGCGGGCGGGGCAGCCGGGTGGGCGTGGGGTGGGGGGCGGGCTGGAGGGGCCAGAAGCTCCTCTCCCCCTTCCCCAACAGGCGGTAGGAGCACTCCGGGGAGGTGCCGCCCTTGTGCGCCTGGGGGGATTGAGTGGTGCCCCCGAATCCGAATCCAGCTGGGCCCCTCCAGGCAGCGCTGACCCGGGTGGCCCTCCCACCTTCCTGGGGAGGGGGGGCAGAGGCTAGCTAGGCCGCCAGGTAGGAACAGCGGGCGCTTCTGTGTCTGAGAAGAGATAAGCCGGGGTTGCGTTGGGGTTGGGGGGGAGTGACTGGCACTACCCTGCCCCCCTCACCTGGGCCAGCACCCCCTGCGTTGGGAGGAGGCCGGCTGCGAGCCCTGAGTTGGGCATTTGGCCTCCGTGAGCCGTTCTCAAGCATTTGGGAGGCTTGGAGCTGCGGGCCTGCAGCTGTTTGGGGAGACAGGTGTGCTGGCGCAGGCCCAGGCACCCCGGGGTCTGTGTGGGGTGCTCGGGGTGTGAGTGCATACTGCCTCACACGTGTGGGGCTGCCAGAATGTCTTCCGGGGCGCCTGGGGTGTCTGTCATTTCCCGGGAAGGGTTGAGTGGGGGGCGCCCTCCCTGCTCCCTCTCCCGGGTCCCATTGTTCCCTGTGCCGAGCCTGCTCACAGTCGCCATCCAAGGGCCTACCTTTGGTCATGGACACACTTCGTGCCCAGGCCTCAGCTTCCCCCTCCAAGGGGGCCCGGGCTCCCTGGACTGATCACTCAGCCAGTCAGTTCTTCATGCCCAGACCCTGCGCCTCATGCCCCAGGGGTCCTTGTCCAGGGGAAGGCCTGGCCAACAAGGTGTTGGGGCTGGGGAGACTGAGCGGCCCCCGAAAGGCGGGAATGCATAGGCAGCGGCCAGGCCGAGGGCAGGGCAGAGGCCCCCGGTAGCACTGAGGAGGCTTTGGCCAGCTGTGGCGGGGGGCAGGGCCTGGCTGCAGGTTGGGGGTGTTGCTTGGTGGACAGTGGTGAGCCGGGGCCCGTGTGGGCCTCCGAGGAGGCTCTTGGTCCAGATGTCGCTCCCGAAGAGCAGCCCCTGAGGTGGTCTTTGTCCCTCCTGCAGCCCCGGGGGGGTGGGTTTTATCTCAGTATCAGAGAGAGCTAGCGGAGAGGTGAGCTCCCCGCTGGACCCGGAGAGCACCTGCCTTCGGAAGCAGGGCCTTTTGGCACTGCAGGGAGTTTGCAGGGGCCCCCTGCATCCAGAATCTGGGTCTGTAGGCCTCGGTGGTCATGGAGCCTTTCCTGGGACCTCCCGTGTGTGAAAAAAAGGCAGGCCGGGTGTGGAGAGCACTGGAGGAGCCTGGGGAGGGCAGCCTCCGGCACAGGAACTGGAACTGGGTTTGAGGGGGTTGTTGGAGGGTAGAGGGGAGGACCCCCCAGGCAGGGCCTTGCATGAGAACCTGGACGGTGGAGGGGATGAAGGGCAATGCAAGGCAGGCTCCCGCGCCTCTGAGCCCTGCACCTACCACCTCTCGTCCCTGGACCCAGAGTCTCCCCCCACCCCTGCCTCCAGTCCTGGGGGGCAAGGACCCCGCATCGCCACTCGCAGGCAGTGAGCGTGAGCTGTGAGCCCAGCTGCTTTCAGCAACACCTGGGGCCGTGCAGACTCACCCGGGAGCGGGGCCTTGGCCTGTGCCCCACATGGTTGGCAGCGTCTCTAAGGGGGGCGTATTCCAAAGGGCCAGGTACCAGGTGGTGGTGGTGGGGAGGGTCTGTGTCCCGTGGGAATGGGCGTGACGTCTCAGTCCCAGGTGGGCAGGCAGCCCGAGGACAGAGTGTGAGTGGCGGCCAGGCTTCCTGTCCGCGTGGACACCTCGAAGAAGGGGCCTGGGCTCCCCGCAGACCTGGGACTCAGGGCTGGGCTCCGGAGCACCCAGGAGCAGATCTCAGTGTCGCCGCGTGCACTGTGTGATCTGCACCCGTCCTGATTGGGCTCCCGCGGTGGAACCTGCTGAGGGTGGGCGGGTGGTCGGTCCAGCGGGCGGAGGGCTGAGCCCCACAGCCTGTGTGCCCCACTGATGCCCGTGCTCTCGGGGTGGCCCGTCCTCATGAGCCACACAGCTCTGCACGCCCCCACGAACACTGTGCACGGGCCTCCTTCCCCGGGTGGAACCTGAATGGGGCTGGGCCCTCCGGCTTCGGCCTGGGGAGCAGCCCCCACCCCCCGCAGCTGCGGGCTGTCCCCGGGCTGCCGCCTCCTCAGCAGGGTCCCCTTGGGCTCTAGTGGCTCAGCTGAAGGCGCTGCGTCGAGGTCACTGACGGAGGACTGCCTCCAGCAGCCGCTCCTCCTGCTGCATCCACGTGGGTGTGGACCTCCGTGTCCGTCCTGCCGTGGCCTCTCCTCCGGACTCTCCCCAGCCCGCCCTCCCCCAGGCTCTCAGCCCCTGGCTGCTAGCGCCTCTGAGGGCTCATGACCCCGCAGTTATTTTTACATCTGCAGACGCCTGCGCGCGGTGTCCGATGGGCTTCTGCAGCTCACGTGTCCGGGAGGGACCGGCCCAAGCCCCGCCCCTGCAGTCCCCTCCCCGGGCGCCCCTGCACCCCCAGTCCAGTGTCCGCATCTGCCCTGCGGGAAAGGCCCCCCCACCCCGGGCTGTCACCATGGTTACTGCAGGGCCTGGCCCAGCCTAGGCCAACAGCACCTCTTGCTGAGCAGCCTCTGCCTCAGGCTCACCAGGCCCCCGACCCAGCACCTTGCGCTGCTCTCCCCTCCCTCCCCTGCCTGCAGGCCCTTTGGGTTCCTGCCTCTGGGCCTTTGCTCTGGCTGTCCCCTCCAGCACAGCACTGATCCCTGTGGGGCCCGCCGCACTGGCTTCTGGCGTCCCTTGGGAGTCGTCTTTGTTGTGCCCCCCTGGGAGGGTCTCGGCTCCACGCCCAGGCCCCCCACAGACGCTGTCATCCCTTTGACCATCCCCACTCCTGGTGTCAGCTCTGCGGGGGGCCTGGCCTCTGTCTCCTGGGTCCCCTGCCCGCTCAGGAGCACAATGACCCCGGGCCCAGGGCTTCAGAACGGGAGGCTTGGGTGGGCTCTGAGGGATCCCGGGGGGGGGGGGCTTTCAGGGAGCGGGACCTCATGCGGGGCATTTGCCCCTCCCTGGACCCGCCCTAGTTCCTAGCTCACTGCAGGGCGCAGTCGCTGGAGGGCAGGGTGTGCTCGGGGCTCAGGGCCGAGACCCCTGCTGGGCCGCTCTGTGCTTGCCCGCAGGGTGGCATTTTCGGGGGGCCAGGGCTGTGTTAGCACCTGGCCTGGGCGGGCTGGGTGGTGTCCATTCCTCAGACAGAAAGCAGGCTAAGCATGGGTCGGCGGTTGCGGACGCAGGGTTGGGACGGGCTCAGCCAGTCTCCCACTGTGGCACCCGTGCCCTCGGCCGCGGCAGGGAGGTGGAGTGTGTGCATGAGTGTGCCGGTGTGCTTACGTGTGAGTGTGTTTGTTGGTGAGCGCATGTGTGTCCGTGTGTCTGCCTGCGTGTGCACCTGTCAGTCTCCGCTGCCTTGGTTTACTTCATTGTCCCCATGAGCCCCCACCCTCCCCGGTCCCTGTGGATGGCCCCGCATCCGGCCCCTGGAGCTGCGGTGCCGCCTGGCCACTCCCTTCAGCCCTCGGGCTGTGAGCGGAGCCCACATGGCCGCATGGACAGCACCCTGACAGAGGCCTTTTGAGTGGGGGCCCTGGTGACCAGGAGACCTCACCAAGCGACCAGTCTTGCTGAGCTCCCCAGGAGGGCTGAAGCCGTAGGGTGCCCAGCGGAGCTGTCCTGCTGGGGCGGGCCCCGGTGTGCTGGCCTCACGTGTCCGCAGGGGTGCTGTGGCCCCGGAGGGGCTGGTGCCATCTCTCCTGGGCTGACCCTGCTCTGTCTCGGGCCCCTGACCTGAAAACTCCCATTCTTCCAATGCCTGTGGTAAATAGCACTCCTGGGGAAGGGGTTTCCAAAAATCGGATCCATTTACTGCTGCAGGTGATGTGGAGGGGAGAGGGCCCCACAGTTGCTGCGCCCAACCTGGCCCCCTCCCTACCACCCCTTTCCCACCCATGCTGGGGGCACTGAGCATGGGGTGGACGCCACCGGCCCCAGCCAAAACCAGGCGCTGACCCGGGTCACCTCCCCCCCGGGCAGAAGGTGGGAGCGTGTCATAGCCGCGTCCCTCAGCCTGTTTGGTTCCCATCTAGGAACGTGAGCAGTGACTTGGAGGATGTGCTAGTCTCCTGGGCCTGCAGAGATCTGCCCTCCCCCTGTCCCAGCAGTGGGACGGCCACCCTCAGGGTGTCTGCAGGGCCTCTTCCAGCTCCTGGTGGTTCCAGGCGCCGTGTCACTTTGGGGCTGGCCTCACGTGGCCTCCTCCTCTGTGCGTGCCTGCTGTCTCCTGTAGGACCCGTGCTGTTAGGCTAGGGCTTGCCCGGATAATCCTTGATGACCCCTGAGATCCTTAACCTGATGACATCTGCAGAAACCCTTTCTCCAAATGAGGTCGTGCTTGCAGGTCTGGGGTCAGGACGTGGACGTATCCTCCGGGCCCATTCAGCCTGCTGCAGATGGGCGAGGGTGTTCGCGCATTCTCATCTCCCTACCGGGTGGGATGGGCGCTGCATCTCAAACGGAGGCAGAATCCAAAACGATGGAACAGGCGTGGGAGGAGGGCCTGAGGGACGACCGCCGGCTCCTGTCATGTGCAGGCCCCCAGACCAGCCTTGCGCATGGGCCCGTCTGAGGGGGGAGCACCTGCCTGGCCGCAGGAGGCTTCAGGGAGGTGTGAGGGCGCCGCGGCAGTGGTGGCAAACTCCATTCCAGACCAGGACTCGGCAAAGCACCGCCCTGAGCCAAATCTGGCCCTCTGCTTGTTTGTGTGATAAAGTTTTATTGGAGCAGAGCCATTCACTCACGGGTTACTCTGGCTGTCTTCAGAGTTAGGTCTCTGTGGCAGACACTGCATGGCCCGTGAAGCCAGAAACAGTTCCTGTCTGGCTCTTTACAGAAAGCTGTGTTGAGCCTGCTCGTAGCTCTATTCCTGGGAGCGTAACTCCTAGAACAAAGGAGGTGACAGTCACTCTGCCGTGCAGGTCAGGCCACGCCTCGAGGGATGGTCTTCCATTTGACCGATGGTTCCACGCCCTCCCTGTGCGTGAGCAGGTTGGTGGGGCTGAGGACGGCGGCTAGACGAGGCACAGACTTCTGCAGAGAAAACCCGCTGTGGGGGATCCCAGAGCCTGCTGGAGGGGGACGGGTGGCAGTGGGGGTCCCTTCTCCCCGGGCCACTCTTGGGAGCAAACACCCGGGAAGCCTCAGGGGAGCACGTGGGTTTCTCTGGGCTCTGGGCTTTGGGCCCTCAAAATGGGAACATCTTTGCTTTTTTCTGATAAAAGCATTTCAGACGCTAAGGAGATAGGAGATGGGAAGGCCTGGGCAGGTGGGGGGAGGGCGAGGCAGGCTTGTAGGAGGGACAGGCGCCGTCTGCTCGACCTTGGTGTGCCTGGGGCTAAGGGCCGTTGTGGGCTCTGGCTCGTCGTCCCATTGGGATACCATCGGGATGACGGGGACAGCGACTATGAAGTTGAGGAGAGTCGGGAACTCCAGGACAGGGGCGTGTCACCTGCCGTGGGGGAAGGGCAGGCCTGCCGGTCTTGAGGGTGGGCCGGCATGGGGGCCGGTGGTGGGACCTAAGGCCCAGTGGCCCCCCCCAGGGCTAGAGCCCACACCCGGGAGAAGCCCAGGAGGCCCGGCAGGTCTGCGTGCGGCAGGAAGGGGGCTCGACGCCGCCGCTGGCTCTCTGTCCGTCCCCACGGGCTCCCTGCCACGGCTCCTAGAGGCCCTGCAGCCCTTGAGAGTGGCCCGCGGGGGCCCCAGGGTTGGGGCAGGGTGGATGCAGCGGTGGGGGCTGGGGCTAGAGCCAGGTGGGCAGGCTCAGCCATGGAGTGTCCGTGGGGCCCGTGCGCCAGGCGGGGCGGGAGATGCCGTTTGCACGAGGAGACGTTGCCCCGGAGCGGCTGGGTGGCTTGCTGGGGGTCATACCTCAAGCCCTGGCTCTCCAGGCGTGCCGCGGCCTCTGCAGGGGGTGCAGGGGTGCAGGGGGCGGTGCTGCTGACGGCCTGTACCGCGTGTCTTGCCCGGCGTCCCCGCAGACTGCCTGCTGATGCTGGCCTACAAGGACAAGGCGGAGCGAGCCAAGGGCCTCCGGGAGCGCAGCAGCCTGACGCTGGAGGACATCTGTGGCCTGGAGCCCGGCCTGCCCTACGAGGGCCTGGCCCACACGCTGGCCATCATCTGCCTGTCCCAGGCTGTCATGCTGGGCTTCGAGAGCCGCGAGGCCATGTGTGCCTGGGATGCCCGGATCCGCTATGCACTCGGCGAGGGTGAGTGGGGCCGGGGACCCTCGCCCACAGGCTGCCGGAGCCATGCCGTGACTCCAGGGCACGACGCACAAGTGTTTGCCAAGCGCCTCTGCCACCCACCTCTGTGCTTCGGGCTCACGGTCTGGGAGGACGCGGCGCTGCCCAGAGGTGCTCGGGCCCTGTGAGGGGGCTTGGGGAGCAGCTGGGGCCGCGGGGCCCCCCAGCTCCTTGACTCGATCCTGTTAGTTAGAACTAGGGCCCTTACCCCACGGAGGCTCTGTTGAGCAGAGTGACCTTCCTAAGTGCTGCCTTTTGCTCTCCACCCTGTCCACCCAAGCCCAGAGCCAGGGTTCCAGGGGCAGCGAGGCCACAGAGACCCCATCCCACTGCAGCGCCCACCAGGGGTGTGGTGGCTTCTGCGCCTGAGCCAGGGAGGCCAGGGGGGCCAGTGCAGCTCTGCAGGGTGGCCGGACGGGGTGCAGAGGTGGGGGCCCCCGGTGCGCTCGGGGAGGAGGGCCTCACACCAGATGCCCACAACCACGGCTGTCAAGATCAGTGACACTGTAACAGTCTTTAAAACGCTCAGGATCAATGCACAAAGCGTGCGATGAGCCGAATACCAAAATTTGGCCTGCCCTGAGCCTGCCCTGCCTTCCCTTTCCTTCCTGACCCACCCCAGCAACCCTGACGAACCTTGTCTTTATTTTTTTTTAATTTTTTTATTGTTATGTTAATCACCATACATTACATCATTAGTTCTTCATGTAGTGTTCCATGATTCGTTGTTTGTGCATAACACCCAGTGCTCCACGCAGAACGTGCCCTCTTTAATACCCATCACCAGGCTAACCCATCCCCCCACCCCTCTCCCCTCTAGAACCCTCAGTTTGTTTCTCAGAGTCCATCGTCTCTCATGGTTCGTCTCCCCCTCCGACTTACTCCCCTTCATTCTTCCCTTCCTGCTAACTTCTTCTTTTTCTTTTTTTTTTTTAACATATGTTGCATTATTTGTTTCAGAGGTACAGATCTGTGATTCAACAGTCTTGCACAATTCACAGCGCTCACCATAGCACATACCCTCCCCAATGTCTATCACCCAGCCACCCCATCCCTCCCACCCCCCACCACTCCAGCAATCCTCAGTTTGTTTCCTGAGATTAAGAAATCCTCACATCAGTGAGGTCATATGATACATGTCTTTCTCTGATTGACTTATTTCACTCAGCATAACACCCTCCAGTTCCATCCATGTCGTTGCAAATGGCAAGATCTCATTCCTTTTGATGGCTGCATAATATTCCATTGTGTATATATACCACCTCTTCTTTATCCATTCATCTGTCAGTGGACATCTTGGCTCTTTCCACAGTTTGGCTATTGTGGACATTGCTGCTATAAACATCGGGGTGCACGTACCCCTTCGGATCCCTACATTTGTATCTTTGGGGTAAATACCCAGTAGTGCAATTGCTGGATCGCATGGTAGCTCTATTTTCAACTGTTTGAGGAACCTCCATACTGTTTTTCAGAGTGGCTGCACCAGCTTGCATTCCCACCAACAGTGTAGAAGGGTTCCCCTTTCTCCGCATCCCCGCCAACATCTGTCGTTTCCTGACTTGTTATTTTAGCCATTCTGACGGGTGTGAGGTGGTATCTCATCGAGGTTTTGATTTGGATTTCCCTGATGCTGAGCGATGTTGAGCACTTTTTCATGTGTCTGTTGGCCATTTGGATGTCTTCTTTGGAAAAATGTCTGTTCATGTCCACTGCCCATTTCTTGATTGGATTATTTGTTCTTTGGGTGTTGAGTTTGATAAGTTCTTTATAGATTTTGGATACTAGCCCTTTATCTGATACGTCATTTGCAAATATTTTCTCCCATTCTGTCGGTTGTCTTTTGGTTTTGTGGACTGTTTCTTTTGCTGTGCAAAAGCTTTTTATCCTGATGAAGTCCCAATAGTTCATTTTTGCCCTTGCTTCCCTTGCCTTTGGCGATGTTTCTAGGAAGAAGTTGCTGCGGCTGAGGTCGAAGAGGTTGCTGCCTGTGTTCTCCTTTAGGATTTTGATGGACTCCCATCTCACATTTAGGTCTTTCAACCATTTGGAGTCTATTTTTGTGTGTGGTGTAAGGAAATGGCCCAGTTTCATTCTTCTGCATGTGGCTGTCCAATTTTCCCAACACCATTTGTTGAAGAGACTTTTTTCCATTGGACATTCTTTCCTGCTTTGTCAAAGATGAGTTGACCATAGAGTTGAGGGTCCATTTCTGGGCTCTCAATTCTGTTCCATTGATCTATGTGTCTGTTTTTGTGTCAGTACCATACTGTCTTGATGATGACAGCTTTGTAATAGAGCTGGAAGTCCGGAATTGTGATGCCGCCAGCTTTGCTTTTCTTTTTCAATATTCCTCTGGCTATTCGGGGTCTCTTCTGGTTCCATACAAGGTTGAGGATTATTTGTTCCATTTCTTTGAAAAAAGTGGATGGTATTTTGATGGGGATTGCATTGAATGTGTAGATTGCTCTAGGTAGCATTCACATCTTCACAATGTTTGTTCTTCCAATCCATGAGCATGGAACGTTTTTCCATTTCTTTATGTCTTCTTCAATTTCTTTCATGAGTATTTTATAATTTTCTGGGTACAGATCCCTTGCCTCTTTGGTTAAATTTATTCCTAGGTATCTTATGGTTTTGGGTGCAATTGTAAATGGGATTGACTCCTTGATTTGTCTCTCTTCTGTCTTGTTGTTGGTGTATAGGAATGCTGCTGATTTCTGTGCATTGATTTTATATCCTGCTACTTTACTGAATTCCTGTATGAGTTCTAGCAGTTTTGGGGTGGAGTCTTTTGGGTTTTCCACATAAAGTATCATATCATCTGCAAAGAGTGAGAGTTTGACTTCCTCTTTGCCGATTTGGATGCCTTTGATTTCTTTTTGTTGTCTGATTGCTGTGGCTAGGACTTCTAATACTATGTCGAATAGCAGTGGTGAGAGTGGACATCCCTGCCGCGTTCCTGACCTTAGGGGAAAAGCTCTCAGCTTTTCCCCATTGAGAATGATATTCGCTGTAGGTTTTTCATAGATGGCTTTTATGATGTTGAGGTATGTACCCTCTATCCGTATACTCTGAAGAGTTTGGATCAAGAAAGGATGCTGTACTTTGTCAAATGCTTTTTCTGCATCTATTGAGAGGATCGTATGATTCTTGTTCTTTCTTTTGTTAATGTATTGTATCACGTTGATTGATTTGCGGATGTTGAACCAGCCTTGCAGCCCAGGGATAAATCCCACTTGGTCATGGTGAATAATCCTTTTAATGTACTGTTGGATCCTATTGGCTAGTATTTTGGTGAGAATTTTTGCATCCATGTTCATCAAGGATATTGGTCTGTAATTCTCCTTTTTGATGGGGTCTTTGTCTGGTTTTGGGATCAAGGTAATGATGAGCCTTGTCTTTATTTAACCATTTGATACTTCATTCATCATGGACTTTTGCATTAATTTTTATTTGTTTAAAAAAATCATCACAGTATCACTGGCCTCGGCTGCTGTGTGTTTGGTCCTGAGCTGGGGGCTTCCCAGGGGCTGGCTGAGGGTTAGGACAGGGAAGGTGACCAGGGCGGCCCCTCTGGGTGCTTGCCTGCCTCTGAACCAGGGTAGGGTCTGGTGCCTGGGAGCAGGGAGTGCGGCCCCTGGGGGCTGGAGGGCGCCAGCTGGGCCGGGGTGGGGGGCCAGCCCTGCGTCTGGTGCCGACACCCGGGAGCTGCCCCTCCCCCGGGCCTCTGCTCGCAGTGATGCCCTCTTGCCCCTCCGCTGCCCCAGTGCACAGGTTCCACGTGACGGTGGCACCAGGCACCAAGCTGGAGAGCGGCCCCGCCACCCTTCACCTCTGCAATGACATCCTTGTGGTGGCCAGGGACGTCCCCCCGACTGTCATGGGGCAGTGGAAGCTGTCAGACCTCCGGCGCTACGGGGCCGTGCCCAACGGATTCATCTTTGAAGGCGGGACCAGGTGTGGGTACTGTAAGTATGTGGGGCCGTGGGTCCCCCAGGCCACAGGCCACTCCAGCGCTCGGCTCTCCCCGAAACCCACGGCTTGGAGCCACCCACCCCACTTTTCGCTTGCCTTGCTGGCATCTGGCAGATGTGGTGGGTGAGGGATATGTGTCTCCAAACCTGGCGCTCAGTAGAGGCCAGACCCCCGCTGCCTCTGTCTGGCCCAGGCCGCTGAGGGTGGGAGGAGGGGCACGCAGCCCACTCACGGGGCTCCCAGCACCCCGGAGCGAGGCCTGCCCATCACAACGCGTGGCCCTGTGTCTGAAGTCACAGAGCCCCAGGGCATTCATGTTCTGACTTAATGAAAAAGAGAAAAAGGGAAAAGAATGAGCATGTTTATCGAGGATGTGCCGAGAACACATTTGCAGACCAAGGATTCCTCGTGGCCACACCAGCTCCTGGGTTCCTTGAGTCCCCACAGCTGGAGGCGGGGCAGGCGGAGAGGTGCCCTGAGGTGCAGATGAGTGCCAGGTCCCCCACGCTGGGGGCCGTGGTGGCTCCCAGGTTGGGGGAGTGCGTTAGCAAAGTGTGCCCGCAAGCTGGGCGCGAGCCGGGAGTGGGGCGGGAGGGGCACAGCCTGGTCGTCCTGGAGCCGAGAGCTCGCCCGCTGTGCGGCCGGGGATGTGCCGACACCCCTGCGCACTGCTCTTCATGCGTGGGTGTGTGCGCACGTCTGGGCCTGCGGGGGCTTCAGGGGCACGAGCCCCCTTCTCTGTTCTCTCCAGAGGAGCCCAGGCCCATGTGCGCTGGCTGTCCAGGGCGGCCTCCCGGTGACCTGTCCCATGGCCGGGACGACCTCAGCTGGTGTGCTGGGCTGGAGAGTGCAGTCTGGGTGGGAGCTGTGCACCCCCATCTCAGTTCAGCCTGGGACCCCCGCCAGACGGGGATCATGGCCCCCTCTCGTGTGTAGGGGGCCTGGAGGCTCTGAGTGGCTGGCAACCTCTCCCCACCTGTGCCTCCTCCATAGAGAGGCGCTAATCCCCCCACCCACAGTACTTCCCCCTCCCCCACCCTCGCCCCCCAGCAAGGGGCCTATCGCAGGGTCTGGCCCACGCTCCGTTCAGCCAGGTTTGGGTGGGGTCCACGGGGCTCTGGGACCTTGGTCCTGCCTGGATCTCCCTGCCAGAGGGACTGTGCTGGAGGACGTGTTCATGCTGACCGGCTGGGCCCCTCCTTTTTGCAAAGGGTGGGCAGGGTGGGAGGGGCCGACTGGGGCCACATGCCAGCCCTGTGGGCCAGCCCGCGGGGCCCTGCCTCCAAGGACGTAAGTCATGATCTACAAAGATGCAAAGAGATAGTCAAGCAGGTGAGGTTCCTGCTCAAGGCAGCGAGACCGCTGAATTTTTTGACGGGCTGCATCCTGGGCTTGGGGGAGGGGAAGTGTTTGGATACTCCAAGGCAGGCCACGGGGGTGGGGTAGCGAGGTGCAGTGGGTTTATGGGGTGGGGCAGTGTGGGCGGTGGCCCCCGAGCTGAGGGGTGGGCGGTCCAGGCCCTGGGGTTTTTGAGTGGGAGTCTGAGCACAGCTGCCCGTGCACCTGCTCTGGGCTGGCGTTGGGGGAGGGGAGTGTGAGATGCCAGCCGGAGGCCCCTCTGCTGGATGTGCCCTTGGGGCCCTGACTTCTGGCACTTTCAAGGGGGCAGCACTGGGGTCCAGAGCAGTGGAGGGGCAGGGCACCTGGCCGTGTGGGTGGTCGGAGCTGGGCCACATGCACTGGGTCTGGGGCAGCCCTCCCCCCACCAGATCCCCTCCACGTGGGGTTCCTGGAAGAGGGAGAATGGGGTGCTGACCGCCTGGGGGTGGCGGCGACATGTGCCCCGAGGGAGGACAGTCAGAGGACCTGTTTCTTCGGAGACCGTCATATTTGCCGGACATAATGTAATAGGGCGTCCAGTTTAAAATCCCGACTGGGCGTGGGTGGGCCCCGCCTGTGAACGACGGTGGGCAGCTGTGATGTCCCGGGGCTGCCAGGAGCCCAGAGGGAGCCCCGGTGGGGCTGTCCTGCGGCTGCTCCCGGGTAAGCCGGGCCCCGTGGCGGGACGCTGACCCAGGATTCGGTCTCCCCTGCTGCTCCAAGCTCTTGGGGGGCCGCTGACCAAGCCAGCCCGTTCAGCCACCGTGGAAGAACTCGGGGGGGGGGGTCAGTCCTGCTGGGCTCTCTCTGTTCTTTGGGGACAAGTTTGCCAGGGCTCTGCCCGTGTTCACTGGGCTATAGGCTGTCACAGGGGACCACTGCGCCCCGCACGTGTGGTCAGACCGCCGCTGCTCAGGACGGGGGCATCCCGGCAGGGACGTCAGGGTCTCGGGGCTGCCATAGCCAGTGACCCCAAACTGGGGCCTTAGAACAAGAAAAATGGATTCCTTCACAGTTGTGTCCAAAGTCAAGGTGTGGGCAGGGCTGTGCTCCCTCCAGAGGCTCCAGGGAGGCGCCTTCCTGCCTCTTCTGGGCCCTGGTGGCCCCTGGTGGCCCTGGCCTTGTGGCCGCCTGCTCCAGTCTCTCCTCTGTTGCCACACGGCCATCTCCCCGTGTCTTCTCTGTGGGACACCAGTCGTGGGATTTAGGGTCAGCTGATAACCCGGGGTCACAGCTCATCTCACCTGATTGAAGACCATTGTTTCAAGTAAGGTCACAGTCCCAGGTTTGGGGGGGGTCACATCTCATCTCACTTGATTGAAGGCCATTGTTTCAAGTAAGGTCACAGTCCTTTGGGGACCACCATTCAGCCCACAGTCACCTTGACTGTGAAGATTTTAGAATTTGGGTCCTGATGGGCCTGTGGCCCTGGGCACGTTTAATCTGGAGGGCGGAGAGCTGGGTTGGAATCATCGGAAGGGCCTGGCAGGTCTGGAGTATAGGAGTTAGCATCCCCTCCCTCCCCTGGCTCGGTCCCTGTGCCCCCCCAGAACCATACCCCCTTGGCCACAGACGACTCTCCAGAGAGCGGGAAACGGTCCCTGGCCCCCTTTGCCCATCCCGAGTGTCAGGAGGTTGTGGAGGTGGGGTCAGGCCCTGGGGGGTGAGGCAGAGGGCTCAGGACTCTGATGGGTTTGGGGGAGACGTCGGGGTGGGTATGACCAGGGTTGTTTGGCGGAGGCCTCTCAGGGCCGGGCCAGGTATGTGGGGGCTCAGTGTGGCTCTGGGTCCCTCCCAGGTGGGCATTTCCTCTCTGTGGCCTCCGCGCATTCAGTGGCCTGTTCAGAGTCAGATGGGAGTGGGCTTGTTGGCCGGGAGTCCAGGGTCTCCCGGGGTGGCCTGGTTCTCTGTCCCTGGGTTGGTGGGGGCCCACTGTGTGTGGCGAGGGCTTCGGGCAGGAACAGAGGATGGGAGAAGGGGGGCCCGCCCAGAGCCCAGGGAGGGCAGGCCTTGGGGAGGGGCATGTGAGTGAGCGTGAGGGTGAATGGAGGTTTCTAGGAGGGGGCCCAGAGGAGGTCCCTGTTCCTTGCATTGATGGGTCCTCCTGTCAAGGGCATTTCAAGGGCATTTCCACATCCGCGTGAGCCAGCTTCCTTTGCAGAGGATCAGCGTCCTTGGATGCTAAGGAATTCAGCAGGTGGTGGAAAGGTCCCGAGCCTGTGGTGGAGGTACGTCGTGGATAGTGACCCTCAGAAACGTCCCCTCCACGTCCTGCATACCGGCCCCTCCTCCACTCGCTGTGCCCGGCTCCTCGGGGTGTGGCCCATGGCTTCGGCCTCTTGGGCCACGGTGGGCGTTTCTAGATGACTTTTTTTTTTTTAAGAATGTGTCTTTTAAAAAATTTTTTATTTAAATTAAATTTTATTTTAAAAAATTTTTTTAAAGATTTTACTTATTTATTTGACAGAGAGAGAGGGTACAAGTAGGCAGAGGCAGAGGGAGAAGCCGGCTCCCCACTGAGCGGGGAGCCTGATGCAGGGCTCCATCCCAGGACCCTGGGACCATGACCTGAGCCGAAGGCAGACGCTTAACCGACTGAGCCACCTGGGCGTCCCTAAATTCAATTTAGTTTTAAATGACTTTTTTTAAGCGAGTAAAGGATGAAGCCATAAACCGGGAGGAACTCTCTTGCTGCGTATTTAAAACACTTGCATTGTCCAGCTGTGCTAAGTCCTCTGGTGGGTGGACGTTGTGGTCTGCATGCCGGGCGGTCTTGACGGAGCTGGCTGGAGCCCTGGTCTCTGACCCCAGGAGTGTGTGTGTCCGGCACGGACGGGTGACCCACAGGGTGTGTGCAGGAACCCCACTAGTTGGTGACGGCAGAGGCGGGGTTGGAGAAGGAGGAAGCCGTGCCGGGTTACAGAGAGCCCCGTAAGCTGGACTAGAGTTTGCACTGTCTTCCCAGGGTAGCCAGGAGCCATCGAAGGTGCTTGAGCAGGGGAGTGCCACCCACACGTCTGTGTAGGGTGATAACTTTGGCCCAGGGTGCAGATGGGATTGAGGTGGGGGGCCATGCAGGGGGCTGTGAGAAAGCTCTGGATGTGGCCCGAGGCTGAGTCAGCAGCATGTGTGCGTGGGGGGGGTCACCGGGGATGCAGGAATGTTAACTACCAGTGGTTGAAATGGGGAGAGAGGGAAGGCCAGCCTGGGGTGGGCAGGAGAAGGAGGGGCGCTTGCTGGGGCGAGGGTCCCCGGAGGATGGAGCCCCTGCCCCGGGCCGGGTCTGCTCCAGTGCTTTGCCCACGGGGAGGCATCCAGCCCATGCAAAGGCCGGCTCCCAGTTTCCTTCCCCTCGGCAGCACGTTGGGGCACACTTGTGAATTGGGGTCGTTGGGTAGGGACGGTCTCGGGTTCCTGCGAGGGGATGCAGTCTGCTGTCTGGGTCTAGACCACCGGTCACGTTGCCGACGGTTTGTGGTCGATCCCAGCCCTCTGCTGGGAATTTTCTGTGATGGGGGCAGGAGCGAGCCTAGAATCCGTCAGCCCCTGCAGCTCACGAGGGGTTGGCCTCCCAGGCTGGTCCTGGCTGCCCCCAGTGTCCAGGATGGTGACCCGGGCTTCCCCCCCGGGGGGCTTCGTGCCACTCTGTTTCCTCCTGGGCAGAAAGGCCCCAGGAAGGCACTGCGTCCCCCTGCCCTCAGAGTTGGACAGTGTGGCCTCCTGGGGGGGGGGGGCGCGGGCAGCCTCCTCCCCCCGTCTCCAAACACAAGACATTTGGTCCGTGGGTACAGAGTCCCATTCACAACTGTCAGCAGGCACTTGGGGAGACGCAGGGAAAGTGAGGTCATGGGCCTGCCCTGAGGAGCCCCTTACCTGAGCGGGTGGTGCCCAGGCGCCCCGTGGGGCCGTCGGGGAGGGTGGCACGGCTGCCAGAGAGGGAGGGTCACCGAGGAGTGGTCTCGGCGGGGCCTCGCGGGAGCCGGGGACAGGGGGCAGCCCCTCCCTCGGGGATGGAGCCCAGGGCCGGGGCTCCCCCAGCAGCGTTCTGACACTCTGCCCAGGGAGGGCCGCATCGCGCAGTGTGCGCGGGAGGGGATGTGGGAACGGTTTGCTCTGTGTTTACTGTGGCGGAATAGACACGCATGGAGTTTACCACTTGAACCGAGGTCAGGAGTACAGCTGAGAAGCATCAGGTGCGTTCAGTGCCACGCAGCCGTTCCCGCTCCATCTTGGCCAGCTGACACTCGGTCCCCAGTGGACACTAGCCCGCATGTCCCCCGCGCGGGCCCCGACGCCCACCGTCCTCTTTCTGAGTCTAGGATCGGGCTCCTCTACGGGGCTGGCAGAAGTGGGCTCACGCGGTCCCTGGCCCTTCGTGACTGGCTCGATGCGCTGAGCACGAGTCCCCCAGGTTCATCTGCGGGGTAGCAGGTGTCAGGGTGTCCTTTTTCCTTGAGGCTGAACTGCATTCCATCGTGTGGACGGATGGACCATGTTCTTTATCCATCCTCCATCAGTGGTTGCTGCTGTGGACACGGGGGTGCGGGCCTCTGTTCGGTGCCTGCTCTCAGTTCCTTCGGGTGAACATCAGACGTGGGATCGCTGGGTCTGCGTGTGATGTTCGGGGGACCCTCCATGCTGTTTTCCACGGCAACCCCTCCACAGCGCACCGGGTTCCAGTTTCCCCATGTTCCCACCAACGCCTGTTGCGTTCTGTTGTTTTGTTTTCAATCAGTCTTCCTGGGGGGTGAGACTATCGGGGGAAACTTAAAACTTGATTTCGAATGAACGTGTTTCATTGAACTTCGGTCCTATCTCTCAAAATAAGGACAGAGAGAAGGACAGTAGATGTTTCCCTCTGTTAGGGAGCCCTGTGCAAAATGAGACCCCAAGGGTCCTGGTCTTCGGAGTGAAAGTCTAACAGCAGGCCGGTTGGTGCTGCCTAGGCAGAGCTTTCTAGAACCTTCTCCGCACGGAAGTCCTCCAGACGCTTTCAGGCACTCTCTCCCGAACAGGACCTCACCGTGTGCTTCTGGTCTCCACTGAGCCAGGACACCGAGCACACGCAGAGCTCAGGACACTGGAGGTTTTCTGGACTCACTTCCGACAGGAATCTGCCCACGGAACTGGGCACACGTTTGGACGGAAGAGTGTTTCTTTCTCGGGGCTGGGGACTCTTTCCGTGGGGTGCAGCTGTCTTCGCATTCGTATATTGTCCTAGGGATTAACTGCATTTGTAAAGCCTGTGAGGTTTGCCTTCGGCCCCGGAGAACCCACAGGGTCTGCCCACAGCAAAAGGTGGCCATCAGCTCGGGCAAGCCGCTGGCCTCCCGCTCAGCACACTCTCTCTCCTCCCTGTCTCCCCACGTCAGTGATCACAGAGCAAGAAACACCCCAGCACTTGGCGGCAGTTTCCTTGCTTGTGATTCTGTGGGTCAGGGATCTGCTCCACGTGGCGGACGGATCACTCAGGGAGTGGCGCTGGGGGGTGGCCTGGCTGGGAGGCCCAGGATGGCCCCAGGCACAGACCCTGCGTGGGGCTGGGGCCTCGTGGACTGGGAGGAGGTGCAGGGGCTGTCTTTGAGGGTGGCCGCGTGGCAAAGGAGGCCGGGCCCCACCTCCTCCGGCCCTGCAAGCAGGCAAGCAAACAAAAGTTCCAGGAACACTCTCTTGGGGAAGGCCCACTCGCCTCCGCTTCCTTCTTCCCACCACACCGAGTGCTGGGGTCCCCTGGGCAGCGGGCCCTGGGTGAGACACTGGGACCCCAAGGCCTCAGAAGGAGCCCCGTCTGTGAGACGCGGGGCCTGGCGGCCAGGACAGCTGCACATGAGGGCACGTGCCAAGTGAAGGATCACAGGTGTGACCCAGAGCGGGGGCTCCCTCCAAGCAACACCGAGTGAATGATCAGGGCTCAGGGGCCGGGAATGGCGGTGTCAGGTGAGCGGAGTCTCTGCAGGTGAAGTGGATTACAGGTAGCTGAGGGGTGTGGAGGGATGGGGGTGGCCACCTCCTGTGGGGAGGGCTCGGGTGAGCTGCCCAGGCTTGGGGAGCTCCCAGGGTCCCCAAAGCCTGGGGGAGGGAGGGGGGCCCGCAGAGGCCAGCCGGTGGTCAGGGAGCTGTGTCCCAGAGGCTTCGCCTCGAGGCTCGGGCAGCCCGGGCCCTGGGAGCCATGTGCCGTCCCCAGGGAACCTCTGCGGTCAGCTCCCTGGCGTGCCTGGGGGTGGCAGCCGTGCTCCCAGGCCTCACCGGCTGCGTCTCGGGGAGCGTGATGCTCAGCAGACGCCTGGTGGAATGCCGACGGCTCCCCTCCCTTTGTAATGTGGTTTTTTATAGTCGGGGGACTGGTTGTGCCGCGGCCTCTGCCAGTTGTCTGTAAGCTCGGGATTAGGGGCCCGGCCCTTTGTGCGGGCTGGCAGGCCTGCCCCTCGCTGGGGCAGGGACGCTGTGGGCCAGCCTTCTCCTCACCTGCCCCCCAGCCCCGGGCCTGCCCTCCAGCTCCTGGGCCCATCGACTGGCCGGAAGCTCTGTGGCGCCCGGACGTGTGCAGGTGGCCCACCAGTCAGGCTGGAGTCCCCCGGGGCCCCCTCTGGGCCTCAGTGCACTCGCCCCTAAGCGGGCCTGTCACCCAGTTCGGGGGGCCTTGAACGGATGGAGCTCCGGTGACTGGAGGGTGCCGCAGCCCCCCAATCCCTGGGGTGGCATTCCCCGTGTGGGGGCTGGCCCGAGCCCCTGGGATCCCGGGAAGACAGGCCGTGACTGTGGCCGGCGGCCGAGGTTTAACCGGGGAGCCTGCCCTTTCCCACCCCGGCCCGCCCGCGGGGGCGCCCCTGGGACCTGGCCTTCAGAGCGGGCAGGCCTTTCCTTGGGCGACAGGCAGAGGGCAGGGCGCGGAGAGATTCTTGTGTGGTGACGCCAGCCGAGTGTGCAGCCCCACGTGGCCCGGTGTCCCCATTCACTGGGCAGGCGGTGAGGGATTTCATTCACCCTGGCGGGGCTCCGGCCCAGCGGGAGGGCGGCCGGGCCCGGGGCGCAGCCGGGCTGTGCTGACTCACGCGGCCTGCCCTCTGCTGGCTGGGGGCCCCAGTGGGCACGACCTCAGCCTCCACCCTCACACCGTGGGCCCGTTTCCCACCCGAAAATGCACCCGGGAGGGGGGCCCGTGCAGTGGGCAGGATGTGTTGCCGGCCACCGCAGCGCCGGCCGCCTCGTGTGTGGGGCAGGCCCACCGCAGACACTCACCCTCAGAGCAGCCCTGGGTCAGGAGACAGGGTCGGGGGGCACCTACCGAGGTCGAGGTCCCCCAGCTGCTTCCTGGCGTGTGAACCGCGCTCTAGGCGGGCCTGTCGCTTGCCCCTCCGATGAGCCTGGACATCGAGAGAACCAGGACACCCTCACCAGCCTCCTCCTGCGGCTGCGTCCTCCTGAGGCGCCCCCAGGAGCCCCGTCCTGGCCAGTGGAGGCCGACGGGTTAGACCGAGGACCGGCAGGGCGGGACCCCCTCTCCCCGCGCCGTCCTGACACCCAGCACAGTTGCCTGGCCTGGGCTAGTGCGCACAGGCCCCGGACGGCCAGGCCGGCACCCCGGCTGCCCGGACGAGGGCTGTGGGCCTGAAGGACAGAGCAGGGCTTACCAGGGCCAGGCAGAAGCCCATCCGGGGGCTCAGGGGACACTCCCCGCCGCCCCCCGCCCCTGCGTGTGTGGTCTCATGGGTTCGCTCCAGGCCCCCGCGTTCTGCACCCTGGGGGCCCCAGGGCCCATCCTGCAGCGGTCCGGCCCTACCCGTGCTCCCGGCACCAGGGTCTGTCCTCCCTCTGCAGGGGCCGGAGTCTTCTTCCTGTCCTCAGCCGAGGGAGAGCAGATCAGCTTCCTGTTCGACTGCATCGTGCGTGGCGTCTCCCCAACCAAGGGGCCCTTCGGGCTACGGCCGGTTCTCCCAGGTGTGTGTGGGAGTGTGGCCCGGTGGGGAGGGGCCGGGGCCGCCCGATCAGTCCGCAGGGTTGGGTGGGCTGCCATCCGTGCAGGCTGCCTGCAGGGCGGGGTCACGCTGCCCGGCTCCCGAGGGGACCGCTCACGCCCTCACTGCCCCCTCCCCCCACGGGTCGCAGCCCTGGTGACGCTCGGGGGCGGGGCCTCCGGTTGGGACCCATCTGCTGTGGGGCACCAGGTGGGGCACCAAGAGGCCAGAGACCCTGTGTGGGTCTTGCGGACACCTTCTGAGCCAGACTGGGGTGGGGGTCTTGCCCCACGTGGCTGGGACTGTGGGCTGGGCTTTGCGTTCGGGCTGGAAGTTGCCTAGTGAGCTTGCCTGGTGGGTGGGGTCTCACCGGCGGGTGGGCGTGAGGCTGCACTGAGCTCACCTCACCTTGCTCCCCTTTCCCTGGTCGTGGCTGGGGCGCATTCTCCAAGAGCCCTGGGCCGGGACAGAGCAGGCACCGTGGGGCCGAGGGCAGGGCTGGACCCCCGAGGCCCTGGCCGCTCCCTCCCACTGGAGGAAGGTCTGCCCTCCCCTGGGGGACGGCCCGGGAGGGACGAAGGCTGGTGCTCGTCGCCGAGACCTCCGTTGACCGAGGCCCCCCGGGGGGTGGTACCCAGGATTGCTGGTACCGCCACAGCCCAGCGAGGCAGTGCTTGTCACCTTGTCCAGGTGGGAGAGACAAAGGCCTGTGGCCGGGCGGCAAGTGGTCCGTGGTCTCCTTGCATGCGCACCCCAGGGCGGGTCATTCGGAGCCACCTGGGGACGACAGAAGCGAGCGACCCGCCGGGTCCCCCCTCTCCCAGCACACGGTCCCTCGGCCCAACTCCACACCCCACACAGGCCCCACGCTGGACGGGCTCAGGACAGAGGAGGTGGCTCCTGGGGCCAGAGCCTTTGCGGTCTGGGCTCTGCGGGATGGTGTGCTAGCGCCCTCTGCTGGCGCCCTCCTGCCTCGCAGCCGCAGGTGCCGTGTGGACCGCGGGGTGTGGACGGGCCCGGCTAGCGTTGCGTCTAGGCCCTGTGCTCATCGGGCTCTGCTGAGATGTGGGCTCCCCTGGGTCAGCAGCCTCATGCTGCAGCCTTTCTGGGGTCCTCTTGTGTTCACCCCCCGCTCAGTCGGACTCACGTGGACACTGAGGCCCAGAGAGACAGACAGTGGGAGGGGAAAGGGGAGAGTCCCGAGGCCCGCCCTGCCCCGAGCACAACCCTGTGCACTCCGTCCTGGTCCCACCATGGTCAGGGTGCCATGTCCCCGCACCCCCACTTTGCAGATGTGGACAAGGGGCTCAGGGAATCCGTCCAGCACCAGTCTCTCTGCCCTATCGCTGCCAGACGGGAAGTGGTCAGGAGGACACACCCGCGTCCCCACCCTGGGCCTCGCCTGCCGGCTTTGGGGCACAGGACATGGGCTGGTGGCCGGGGGCCTCGGAGGGGGCAGGCGCCCTGAGACTGGTGTCCCGTGGCTGGGGTGCAGGCGTGGGGAGTTGCTGGGACTCCCGGGGGTCCCCCGTGGCCCTGCTGTGGCCTCAAGGCACGCCCAGCACACATGTGGCCCCGGTGGTGTGGGACTCACCGGGACGTCCCGGGCGGCCGGTCCCCCGCGGCCGAGGGTCTGGGGCGGGGGCCGAGGCTGCGTCTCTGCTGATTCTCTTCTCTGCCGCAGACCCGAGCCCTGGGGGACCCGCCACCACGGAGGAGCGAGTGGCCCAGGAGGCCCTGGAAGCCCTGAAGCTGGAGAAGCGGCTCAGCCTCCTCGCCCACGCGGTCCGGCCCGGCAGCGGAGGTAGGCGGCGTTCATTCCCCCTGGGCTCCCTCATTCATTCATTCCTTCCCCCTCTGCTCACTCATTCATTCCTCCCCCCTGTACTCATCCATTCCTT